AAAAAATTGATGCAACTTCCAATTAATGGTTTGTACATAATTTCTTATCTCGATTAAAATATAATGGAGTAATGTTTTTCCACAGCGAGTGTGCAGAGAAGATATCGTCAAATACTCATCACCATCGGCCATTGTCTATTCTTTACATATTTGCGTTGGCGTAGGTCAGACCAACGTATAGACGCGGCTCAAAAACTGCTAAATCTCTTATCATGATCGTAGATTAACAACTACCGGTGATCAAACTGATTTGCGAGGATAACTATGAAAATAACGTGGAGCCTCGAAAGCGAGTCTTTTGATGACTCATTGGGCTTCTACATCCTGTAATGTATTCTTATCATTGCCACTCATTTATACATATACGTTCACACCTTTTTTGCAGCTGTAGGTTTTTTATTGTTGTTCCAATTCTAAATGAAAATATTATACCTCACTTATCCAGTCAATCGGTAAGCGGCTGAAGAAAAATTACTGCATCTTGTACTCTAAACGCAGAAATTTCAAAAATTCATTAATATGCATAAGTCGGTGAACGCCACAACTACAAACGAGCTTATTATTCGAAATCGACTGGCCTATCACTGAGAGAGGACACTGAGGACGTCGAAATAAAAGAGGATCGTTCCGCTTCAATGGTGCGGCGTCTGGCGACAGGTGTACGCGCGTCCCTCTCCCCGCAAACCCCCTCGCCCATAAGCCATCAGCAAGCTGTAGCGCGAAAACTAAGCAATTTAGCGAAAAATTTGTAGAGACCTTTATTGATGGCCCAAAAATTAGAAAAATTTTGGTGTAAAAAAATCCCAGATATCCTCAGCCGTTTCAGCGAAAAAGAAGTTTTTCGGGTTTTTTCGCTGTTTTACAAAAAACGGCTGGTTTCCGGAAAACCAAATTCACACACCAATATTCGCAATCCTTTATTACACCATTACGCCAGCGGAAATAACTTTGTGGCTATGTTATCACTTTTGTCTCAGTTTCGGCTATTTAACTGGACTAAATAGATTTCCAAAATAAATGAAGGGAGCTTGAATGTTTGGGGAGGAGATATTGGCAGACAAGTTATCGGGCCTTTCTTTTTCGACAACAGATTAACAGGCACAGAATATTTTATGTCTTTGATCGAGCATTTGCGTTTGCTTTTGGAGGGTGTCAACCTGCAAACTCGGATGCATATGTACTTCCAACATGACGGCGCACCTGCGCATTATCATAATCGTGTGCGTAACTATTTGGACACGTGGAGTAACAATCGTTGGATCGGTCGTAATGGGCCTGTATCTTGGCCTCCTTGATCACCTATGACACCGATGGACTTCTTTCTATGGGGCTACGTTAAGCAAGAGGTTTATAGATATGCACATCTACCCTGGAAATATGAAGTAAAGGATTAAGGATGCTTTTCTGAACATAAGGGAACACTTGCTGGGGGATGTGCAACGGTCATTTATCCAAAGACTACGGCTGTGTTTTCGAGCAGATTTTGTAGATTAGGTCTTGAGTAATGATAGTTGTTTGTCTATGTTGTTGTTATAGTTCTTTTTCTCTATTACGCTTGAAGCTGATTTATACTGTTCTGATTGTTATTAGTGTGTGGTGGCGCAATTTGCAATGACCAGGGTACAGTCCTACTAGAGCTTTGAGGCTATTCCTGTTCAGCCGTAGCATGGCGCAATCCCTGTTAATCCCTTCCAGTATTGATGGATATTTCTGTCCATCTCTGCAGATATCATTTGTTTAGCCGTAATGTATGCGATCCCAATCGCTGGCTCAGGCTCTATGAAGGGTGTGCTGGCGCCACTCTTTGCCAGAGTGTCAACTGTTTCGTTTTCCTCTAGACATGTGTGTTCTTGGTATCCATATGAAACGGACTTCATTTCCCTCCCCTACGCCACGGAGAGCTTCTTTTTCAATTCCACACTAATTTCGATGCCGAGTAGGTGGAGACAAGAGCTTAAGTGCGGCTTGACTATCTGAAAAAATAATTATAGTTCTGTGCCTCAGTTGTCGTTCTGCGATCATTCTGGCGCCTAGTTCATTAGCATATAGCTCTGCCTGGAAGATCGATGCCCAGGTTCCTAGTCTAACAGATTTTTTAATCTTTAGCTTCGGCACGAAGATACCAGCTCCAACACCTACCTCGATCTTGGAGCCATTTGTGTATGCACAGATATATTTCCTTATGAGGTTAACTTGCTGTTCTCACTCATTCCTGTGTGGAATTGTCACTCAGTAGAAGGAATTTCCGGACTGTGGTGGTCTTGTAAGTCCACCAGCATGTCCGTCTCTTACATAGTGATATTGTCCATTATACGATTTGCCACATGATGTAGTTACTCTATAAGATGTCCTTGTTGTCCCGCCGTCCAGGTATATGGGCAAGGGGGGTAAATTAAGAAGGACCTCCATAGCTACAGTTGGTGTGGTACGAAATACACCAGTGATCAACGTACAAGCTTGGACAGTTCTTTGTGCTGCCTTGCGCCACCAAGCTACAGATTCATAGGTTATCCTAAGTCTAATAACCATGGTATAAAGCCAAAACATCTGCTCAGGCTTCGAGATCGTTGCATCTTAACGACTGCTTCCAGGAGCAAATTCCAGTTTAGTGTTCTATCTAAGATTATTTCTAGATATTTCGCCTCCTTTGCAAATAGTACATTTTCACCTTGGATTGTTGGAGGTTTAATCCCATCCAGTTTTCTTTTTCTGGTGAAAGGTACGATGAAGATTTTTTGCGGGTTGATTGACATTCCTTCCCCTTCGCACCCATTCGCTATTGCGGTTAACACCTCCTGGAGTGTTCCCGAGATATGTTCCCCAGATTTCCCTCTGACTAAAATGACTAGATCGTCTGCATAGGTTTGATCTTCGGCCTCCTACAGGCGAATAATGGCAATCAGATCACGGACGTATATAAGGGGGGGGTTTGGGGGTCCGGACCCCCCCCCATTCATATCCATCTAACTTGTCCAACAGAAAAAAGTTACATGCACCGCGCCGATTGTAAAACGATAATTGCTGTGGACCGTGTCCGTAGGGCGAGTATCGGAAAACGCGATGCGTACGCCCGCGTAGTGCGGGGTGAGGGGGAATGGGCACTGCCCCCGCCACCGTCGCCCGCGCTTCGGCGGCGCGCACCAAACCAAGTAGTCTACTAGTGGTCTAGTCTATTTTGTCTCTTCGCGTTGACGCGTTGCGCAGTTGTTATAAATACAATATAGAAAGAAGTGTCGCTATGAAACGAACAAATCAGGTATCTCTTTTGGGTTTTTTTTTAAGAAAGAGAGTCCAAAGCCCAATAAACTTTTGCCAATTGAAGAAGTAGGAATAAATAGAGCGGGGCCATCAACAGATACTGATGACGATGAAGTGAAGAAAGGTAAGTCTCTATTTATTTTATTAGGAAGAACCCAGTTATATGAATTTAATAGACGCTCTAAAAACTTTTATCCTGCTCTTATTTTTATTCCCAGAGAATTTTTGTAAACAATTGTGTTGCCGTGAGCATAAAATATTTGACAAAAATGGTAATTTCAGTGTATATGCGGAATGTACCTAAGTGTCATAAAATCATTTCGCCTTTTCAAAGAAATAGAATTATATTTAACAACTAAGTGGCGCCCGCGACTGTGTTCGCGTAGACTTAATTTTTAGTTGAAAATTCTTATTCCCAACATAACTTTTTAGTTTTTGTCAAATATTTCTTTGTTACAGCCAGGATGGATTTGTGGTCGGCTACGTCTGCAGCCGCAGCCAGGACGGGTTTATATTGGGAAATACGTATGTCATCCTCCATGCAATGACGAGGAAAAGCTGAGAGCATTAAAAGAGCCTTGGATCCCTCCGGATACATTTAAATTTCCAGTCACTGACACTGGTAAAAAGAAACTTTCTTTTCAACGCCATTGGACTACCAGGTACTCATGGCTTGTATATTCAAACCTCATGCAGGGAGCACTTTGCAAAGTATGTGTTCTACTTGGAAAAACACAAGGCGGTCGTGGTCATCAAGAACTTGGAGCCTTTGTTAGTAAGCCATTTATTAACTGGAAGAAAGCTTTAGAGATTTGATCACCATGCAGATACGAAGTATCACAAATTTGCTGTTGAGCAGGCAGCAAATTTTGCAAGGATCATGAAAGGAAAAAAGCTTGATGTTACAGAATGCATGAATGCAGAAAACAATAAAATTGCCGAAGAGAACAGAAAAGATTAAAAGCCATTGTTGAAACAATTATTCTTTGCGGAAGGCAAGAAATAGCACTAAGAGGAAGTCGTGATTCTGGAGAAATTGGGATAAATGAGCCTGAACATAATGATGGTAATTTTAGAGCACTTCTTCGTTTCGTGCGCGATCTGGCGATGAAGCACTTAAGAATCATTTACTAACACAAAACATTCACAGTAGAGCCATGTATACGTCATCAGTAATTCAAAATGAGGTGATTGAACTATGTGGTAGTGCTATTCAAAACGCAGTACTTATAGGGTCAAAGAGGATGTTTTTTTTACTATACTTGCTGATGAAACACAAGACATTTCACACGGCGAGAACAATTAGCGTTATGTTTACGATATGTACACTGCTCATCTGGGAACTCGGTTATACGGGAAGATTTTTTAGCATTCATTCACGTAGAAGATGTTTCAGCTCAAGCTTTGGCAACGATTATTATATCACATCTTTTATCATATAATTTGGATATGGATAAATGGATTGGTCAAGGCTATGATGGCGCTGCAGTGATGAGCGGCCGGTTACGGGGCGTAAGAACAATAATCTCAGAGCAATACCCGAGAGCGCAATTCGTACACTGTGTTGCTCATGTTCTCAACATAGTTTAGCACATTCATGTGAGATACCAATGATACGTAACTGTGTCGGAACCATTAAGCGCGTAATAAACTTTTTTCGCGACGGACTTTTGAAGAAATTGCGGATCAAATTAATTCATCTCATTTCAACATTTGCGAATATACAAAAACTGTAAAAACGACTTTACTAAATGTTCGGGACGAAAGTCAGTTTGCAATCCTTTTGAGCAAACACAGCAGATGAGTTCAGGCGATATAGTTGTGCCAAGAATAACTGGAAGGCAAACCCTGCGCAATAATATTGCAGCAGAAACTGCCAAAATATACTACCGACGAATGTGTTTTACCTTTCATTGATCATGTTATTACAGAACTCGACGTTCGTTTTGAATCACATGAATCGACGATCGAAGGAATTCAAATGCTGTTACCTGAAAAAACCAGTAATGACTCCAGGATAAAAGAAAATATTGAAAAGATTGCACAAACATTTCTGGGTGGAGAAAATGAAGGCACAATATTTCTGAGTGAATATGAGATATGGCACAATCACTGGAAATCTGTAGCACAAAAACCTGCAACTGTGCTCGACGCTATCGATAACTGCGATGATCAGTTTTTCCCTTCAATAAAAAAGCTTCTAAATATCTTAGCCACACTCCCAGTGTCCACTGCAACCCCTGAAAGATCTTTCTCTATCTTAAAGAGGTTAAAAACTTACCTAAGAAATAAAATGGGCGATGAAAGACTTACTGGTCTGGCTTTAATGAGCGTACACCGAGATCTGGTGGTGCAACTAGATTCCGAGGAAATTATTAATCAGTTAGCAATAAAACGTAAAAGACTAAATTTATTACTTTAAAGTTTCAACTTTGTTACTTTTGAATAAGTAATAATAATAATAATAATAATAATATTTATTTACTCAATGTACAAAGATAACAAACAATATGAGTAAATAAATATAAAATCAAAACAGGCCCAATAGAAGGCATCGCCTGTACATGGACCAATAATTTAAGTTGAAACTGTAGAATGCAAATGACAAAAAGGACAAAAATTAGCTACAGTAGATTATGCATTTAGTTGATGTTCGTATTTATGAGTTTATGAATTTCAGTCCTAGATATAGAATGTAGCCACTTTTTTAAATTTCTTTTGAAACAATTTCCGAAACGTAAATCTTTAAGTCTTTAGGTATAATTTCATAAAATTTAGGCGCTAAATAGAGATATGATCGCTGCATTATAGATTTATGCGGTTGAGGAACTACTGTGCCACGAATTTTGTACCTGGTATAATGATTATGTTTAATTTTTTGGTCGGTGTTTACAAATTTATGGTAGTGAGTGATACTGTGTAAGAAATAAAGCTGTCTTATATCATACATTTCAGTGGGATAAAGTTTCGGTTTTTTAAATATCATTTTTAGAATACTTTTTGAAAAACATCTAAATTATAGTATTGCAATACATACATTAAACTTTTTATTTAAAGGCACCTACCTAAGTAACCTAAGTTATATATTATAGATTACCCGCGACTATACTTGCGTGTTTTAATCGCAATGTTTAATCTGTAAGTAATAGATCCAGTTGGCGTTAGAGCTCTGTTTTTTTTACTTTGGGGACCCCCCCTTATCAAAGCTATAGCCGTGAATCAGATTATCTACCAGGAGCGACCACAAAAGAGGAGATAATACCCCTCCCTGTTGACACCCCCTGGCAGCTCTAAATCTGAATGTCTACCCCTGTAAGGATGTCGATATGATTCTGCATGTCAACACGCTTCTGATCCAGCCGCAGATCAGAGAATTCACACCCTTGGAGGCGATTGGTTCATAGAGGGATTCTGGTAAGGCATTGTTAAATCCTCTCTCTATGTCCAAAAAGGCCGCTACGGCAATTTCCTTGTTTTCCAAGGACGTTTTGATGGTGGCATCCAAGTTGTTGAGAGCAAGGTCTGCTGATTTACCAGCCTGATAGGCATATTGATGCACGCTGAGAGGATGCCTCTCCCGAGCCACCCCACCCCCTCTTATGTACTATCAATTTCCTTTTCAAGGCCTTTCAGCAGAAACGAGGTCAGACTAATGGTCTGAGTTACTTCGCTACTGGATCTGTCTGTCCAGGTTTGGGTACCCTTGCCACCTTCCAGCCATGTGGTATGTGATTCCACGCTAGGCTGGCTATGTAGAGTGCTATGAGAAATAGCATCAATATATCCAGTCCAACTTGTATTAGAGCTGGATAAATGCCATCCTCTCCTGGCGATTTGAAGGGTTTAAATGATTTTGTCGCTCCTGTAACCGCATCAGGGCTTACTATGGTTCTAACAACCTGCCAGTCTCCCCTGTGGGGGCATTTGTCCGGCCGATTCTCCGGTAATTGGCCAGCTAAGTCATCCTGGAAAGTGGTTTTGCGCAAGGATCTCCAAGGTTTGCCCCTGGACAATGTGTCTGGTCGCTTGATCGACCCCAGCTCCTGTCCACAATCCTTGGAAAGGATCTTGTAGACCCTAGCACTGCTCGGTGCATCTGACATGCTCTCGCAGAACCGCTTCCATGACTCAGTTCTGGCTTTGCGGACCGCTTTATTATAGTCGGTTAAGGCCCTCCCATACTGGTCCGACTCACCAGATAGTTTGGCCCGGTTGAAGAGTTTTCGAACCTCTATCCTTTTCTTATTAAGACTGTTATTGTACCAAGGCGTACTCCTGTTATCTTTTCTCGCCTTGAGTAGACAGTTTTCCTGATAGGCTGAACTTATGGACTGCGTTACCCGATCCGTCATGAAGTTTTGTTATGATCTTACTATGGTAGTTTTATATCCATCACAGTCCGTATTCCTCACATTCCTGTAGTATAACATGGGTCTTACACCCGTTGCAATCTCAAAGTGAATACGTCGGTGATCAGAACACGAAGGTCCGACGTTACCCGCCAATCTTTCATCTTGCTGCTTAAATAATTAGTACTAATTGTCAAGTCAAGTACCTCTTTCCTACTTCTCGTACTAAAGGAAGGCTCAGCGCCTTTACTGTTAACCAGTAGTCCCTCCCCAATTAAATAGTTAAACAGAGACTCACTCCGGCCATGTGATGCGCGTTCTTCATCCTGCAGTGGTCGATTAGGTTCCGCACCAGTTGGGGAGGAGATTCTTCTGCATCTCCAGAAAAATAGGCAGAGGAAATTACAACCTCTAGTTCCCCTGGTAGGGGCAGGTGGATAAACACCATTTCCCTATCGCAGAAATCTGTAAGAACAAAGTATTTTAGAGTTTTCCTGACAGGGATGCATGCCCTCAGATTGGGTATCGATGGTAATGCAATTACCTTACCAGATATTCCTTCAAGTCGGGATACTCGTCTTATGTTCCATGGTTCCTGGATAAGGGCGATATCCATTCCGTCCGTTGCAGATTAATCTGGAGCAGGCTCAGTGATTGAGCCATTATGCTGCAACCTTTTGGTGGATCTCTGTCCCCACCAGGACCCCGTGGCAGTTAAGGTTGGCCTTTGGAGCTTTGTGTGCCCCAGGACCTCCCTTCCCCTTCTTGGGTTTCTTTTTGCCTTTTTTGGCAGCGTATTATCGGGAATAGTCTTTCCTTTGGTAGAATCGCTACCAGTTCCAACAGGGGTGGCTGTCCCTCCTGCTGGCACCGTCGACGCATCACTGGCGGCGGGGGCTATGGGGGAATTAGTCTTCCGTGTCCCGGATAATGTTCCCTGAGCCCTGGGCCTCAGACGAAATGGTACCCGGCTGAAGCCAAAGTACGGTCTGAAGTCCAGACGCCTGCGCGCCTCCAGCGACGCATCACCTATACCGAAGGTCCAAGTATGTCCCTTGCCTGAATCCTCCCGATGTAGGACAACCAAATCATGAGTATCCAGTGTCCGGTTCATATTCCCCAGAATATGCAGCTCATTCTCCCAGGAGAGTCGCTTCTCTGGAACTTCGTCCGGAAGATATGCTACTTGACCTTGGCGCCTTTCCAAAGCTGGAGGTGCTTCGCCGCATCTTCAAACCTGTTCAGGCTTTCGTTGTCCACACAGGTGATTTGTAGCCATCCAGGCCTATTGGTGCAGTCCTGGAACCTCACCTGTGTATTCCTGTCTCGCATTAGAGCTACCAATATCGCGTTTTGAAGAGCGAATAATTGCTGCTTGGTGTAGACAACCAAGGGATGCTCTGGGTGAATTAACGCCACTACAGCTTCCCGCAATCACTCCATGTGTCGAAGCCTGCCCACCACTTCTTGGCTTTTTCGGTGCCTGTTCGGGAGAGCTACTTTCCGAACGGGGCCGCCTGCTGCAGCCAGCAAATGGGGCGGCTTCACGCCTTCCATGCTCCTGACTGCTGCAGCTAGCTGCGTTGGACGATGGAGGATTTTCCTCCTCGACCTTCGCTGATTCCCCTAGGATTTTTGCAAGTGCCGCCTTGTCAGGCATGCCGCGTTTGAGGAGCGCTGTCAGGCGCCTTCTCTTTGCACCCCGGAATCTTTTCCAAGGCTTTTTCGCCTTAGAGTCTACCACCTCTGGCTTCGGAGAGGAGTTCAGTAGTTCCCTCTCCTGTTCAAAGGTGACTCCTATTGACAGGGATCGGTTCGCCCGGAGGAGCATCCGCCAGAGTATTATCCTCCGACGCTTCAGAGAGCGGTTCTCCTCCCCGTTGTGAGTGAGTCGTTTCCCGACTCCCATTAACAGGGGTCAGCTCGCCCTGAGGAGCCTCCGTCAGAGTATCATCCTCTGATGCTCCAGAAAGCAAACCTTCTCTCTGCTGTAATGGAGATGATGACCAAAGATCGCCAATCTCCATTGGTTGTTCCTCCAACGGAGGATTGAGGTTTTGACCCTTCTCGTTAGGGTTGAGTTTTTCGTGTTGGTCCATGTTGTTTCCACAAGTATTGGGGATATGAACCGTCACCGTACGCAGAACTCCATACGTACAGAAGGCCAAACGTACTTCGGAATTCGGCCCGGTGTTCCGGAGGGTCCGTTCACAATGCCGCTTGCCCCCGGCAGCATTCATCCCTCAGCACGGAGCCTCACACCTTGGATTCGGGGTTTCACCAGAGCCCGATTAGTCATCCCTCTGCCCCCCAAGGAAGATTTACTCCCCTGGCGAGCAGAGGACCCGTTGCCAACTCCACACGGTCGTGTACAGGAGATACCTCCCCGCACACAAGCTGGAGGTCGTTGGGGTTGGACTTTGTTGAGCTGGATGTAGGGGTCACAGCTATTAGAGTCTTCAACAATACTGTCTACACCTCTAGATCGAATACATACGATAGTGTCATCTACATTTTTTTTTTGAAAAACAGGTTGTTGGGTAGTACCTGAACTACCAATTACATATTCTACCAAAATTGGTGACAAAACGGATCCTGTTGGCCAACCATGTGTCTGAGAATACATTTTGTTATTAAAGGAAAAGTAGTTGTTGTGAAAAAGGAGTTCTACATTGTAGGTGAATGATTCAAGAGTTATGTTACAACATTGACTTATCTGATCCCAATGCTTGTTGATAGTTCTAATACATGCATCTAGATAGAAATTGTTGAATAACGACATCTCATCAAGTCTGGCAATAACCTAATGAGGTGGTATTTGTAACCTGTTGAAATCAATTCAAATATCTTCAGGATGGTCCCTTAACATTAGGACTTAGGGTATCAAAGTCAATTTGGTAAAACAGATGAAAACAAGAGTAATTAGCATCTCTGACAGTACTTTCCATATTTCAAATTTACGGAAGCTCTGAAAATTGTTTATTAACAACGGTTATCCGAAGTATTTGATCAATAAAATCCTGTTCAGCTCTCCTTCCAATGTTTTGTCAAATAATAATAATAATAATACAAATATTATTCCTAAATCTCCCAACAGTACAGTAGACACATTTACCAACAATAAAATTATTATTGTAACAAGAATAAATAGTACCGTGGGCGCCATCTGTTGGGGACCGCGCCAGACTCACCCACTCGCCAGCTGCTTCATGGCCGATCTCTGGTGGGGACCGTGCCAGCAACTCGCCTTCTAGATCGACGCGAAGTGACCTAGAATATTCTAGACTTCCGCTTTGTCGCTCGCCGGACTCTTCTCGAATCAGCGATGCGGACTATACAGGGTGGCCATCCATGTGTGGACGGAATATTACTCACAAACAAATACATATTGGATAAATCTATTAATGGCATGTTATACATGACATTTGAGAGCACATTTCTAAAATATTGGCAATTATACCTGGTCTCCCAATTCTGAGCTAAATATCAAAGTTGTGATTTTTTTTAATGGAATGCCTCAAATTTTATTGCATATTTGGGTAAACCAATTCAAAAGAAGAAGACTGATATATCATACTATGGGGTTTTTGTAATTTAGCTACTGAGATGTAAGGAGTTTTGTCCAGAAAAACCGTCCACTTCGGCAACCCCTCAATCCGCCATTTTAAAATTTGGAGTGCTGAATTTTGTACCAAAAAACTTACACACCTCAGCTTTTATCTTATTTGTCAGTTTTTCGATTTTTCATTTTTGCTCATACAGGGTGGTCAAAAACGCAAATTTTGGAGTTTGGATTCAATTTTTTACAAGCCTTTTTTGGTATAAAGCTTAATTCAGATAAAATCACTAGATTTTGAGTTATTAAGCTTTC